ATGTTGAAAAACCCTCTAATTGATCATCTCGACATTAAGATGTATGAATATATAAAAAAAAAAAGATTTTGAGCCCTATAAATAGTGCATCTTGCAACACATTATCTAGACAGTCCAATTTTAAGATTTTCATGTGTTCATAGATCTATTTGATTTTAACCATATTTGGAATTTAAACTTTTAATTAGAGATAAAAATAGATTTTTAGATAATCTTAAGAATTTATTATATTTTATGATTAAATTTGGAGGTGCGCCTTAATTGGATTGTTTAAGGTTGCAATCTTATAGAAACCACACCTATATATATATAATTTTTCTAGAGTTAACAACCCTTCAAAATGCAAAAGTTAACGATAGAAGGGGTTGTAATGGGTGTATTTTATCAAAAAGATCATTATTTTTTATTTAAAAATTATTTTAATAGGTGATTTAACCACGAAACAATGACAAATTTGAAATTTTTATAAAAGTAAAATAGCATTTTGGAAATTAGTATTATGAAACTTTACTTGTAGACTGCCTCGTCATTTAGTAAAAATTTCAACTTTACTCTTTATGGAGATGATAAAAGGTATATTTTGTCTTGTAGTGATATTTATAAAAATATTCTTACTTAATTAGCAAAATATCAAAAAAAGTAACTTTGCTTTTTTAAAAATAGACCACAAAGTAATAAATCCACATTTTACAATTCATTATATCATTAACTTTTATAATTTGAAGGGTTGTGAACTTTAGATTATCTCAAATATATAATGGGACAATTTAACCTTTGGTACAAGAAACTTACAATTACTTACAACTATCTGATGTGCAATCTGATAGCTTGGGTGTGTCACAAAGTTCAAAAAAATTTCTTTTAAACTTTGAGCTTGATCAATGAAATAAATCATACCACTTAATTTCACATGCAATGGTCAAGATTAATAGTGATCGTCTTGTACCAAGGTAAATAGTCTCATTAAATACTTTTCCTATTTTCAATAGCACAAAGAAAAAAACAATATTTACTAAAATTTCCCTAAAAGCTACCACCCATGTCCAGCCCTACCCAATCGACTGCATCCAAATCTATTAGTCATAACCCCAATCGTAACCCTAAATCTAGATCAAAATTCGAAAGAAAAGGCGAAGGCAAAAGCAAAAGCAAAACCAAATTTCAGGAAAAAGCAAACATGCATACCTCTCCTCCTTTGATCCCGATCTCCTTAAGCTGAATCCCCAGCCCAACTCTAACCTTCGACCACCCTTCATCCAAACCCTCCACCTCTCCTCCCCTGTAAATAACTCTCTCTCTCAACTGCTCAATAATCACTCCATAGTCTTCTTCTCCATGACTCAAATCCACCTCATTGCTGAGATCCATGGCCCTTGATGCAAATTCATGGCCCTCAATCAAAGCATACCCATCCCTCCCACACAGCAAAAACTCCCCAAAAAGCCCCTCGGCCCGAGGGCGAGGCACACCGGCGACGTGAATCAACCGCGAGGCCCAGGGCTTTTGCGATTCCACCGCGCGTGCCAGGCCTTCGTTGCCAATTGGGGCGCACCCGAACGTGATGCATAGAACATGGATACCTTTCTGCAGGGCCCACAGAGCGAAGAGTGCAGCCACCGCACCACCGAGGCCCTGCCCTGTGATGAGGAGCGGACCGTGGCCGTGCTGCTGCGTGGCCTCGGCTAAGAGCTGGTCATGTGGGATGGATTGGAAGAGAGAGAGAGCGGCGGAGTTGATGGAGATAGAGAGAGGAGGGTCACTGTGGGTTTGGAGGTTGAGGAAAGAGAGTGGAGTGTTGCTGGGAAGAGGAGAGAGAGAGTGGGGAGAGGTGGGTTTTGGTGGGGAGAAGGAGATGATGGGGGGAGAGGAGGGGGAGGTGTGAAGGTTGAAGATCGAGAAGGCAGAGTGGACTTGGGCACCGATCCAGGCTTGGTCTAGGAGGCCGCTGGTTATGAGGAGATCGGCCATGGCTCAAGTGAAATGGAACAATGGGGGGTTAAGAAATAGAAATCAGAGAGCGAGAATTTGGAGAGAGAGAGAATTCGATGAGAGGAAGGTTGTGATAATGATAACAAAAGAAAGGAATTTGTAGAGAAAGAGAGACAGAGAGTGGTGCAGAAGAGGAGCTGAGATTCCTGGAGTGAGAAGCATTCGCAGGTCCAACGCGGCCACAAGTCAACCAGCTTCTGGCTGGGAAGGTGCCAGCGCCCATAAGTAATCAGTTTCCTTGGAAATAAAATATTCCACGCGATATGATGTTACTGGGGGAGGTAACTGTTCTACTCCCTCAGATAAGCCTCTGTCTAAAATTAATTTTCCACGCAATATAATGTTCCTGCGGGAGCTAACTGTCCTACTCACTCGGATAAGCCTCTATCGAAAATTAATTTGAAGGCCCCAGGGATGTCTTCTTAAAACCCATATATTAACATAGCCATTTTCCGCCACGAATACTAAATCTATATTACTCTATCAAGGGTCTGAAATCATACGTAGCAAAGGTTTACCCCTTACTTTTTTTTTTGTTTTTATTTTAGCTTTTCTATTGAACTGACTTGCACATCTTAACACGTATTATATTATTATATATTAACATTAAATCATTATATATTACATTTTTCCAAGTTGATTAGGAATTAGCTATCCGAAAAAAGTATACTTCTTTTTTTTTTTTAGCTTTCCACTTGAACTGACTTGCACCTCTTAACGCGTATTATATTATTATATATTACCATTAAATCATTATATATTACATTTTTCTAAGTTGATTAGGAATTAGCAATATATTATTATATATTAACATTAAGTCATTATATATTACATTTTTTCAAGTTGATTAGGAATTAGCTATATGAAGGTGTCACCTCTTATCAGGTAAGATTAAAAACCACAACATGGTGATTAGATTGTGGGATGCTGCCATCACGACCTCAACATGGTGATTAGATTGTGGGATGCTGCCATCACGACCTCAACATGGTGATTAGATTGTGGGATGCTACCATCAAGACCTCTTAACACGTACTATATTATTATATATTAATATTAAATCATTATATATGACATTTTTCCAAGTTGATTAGAAATTAGCTATCTGAAGGTGTTAGTGAGGTGGTGTTAGTGGTGAGATTAAAGACCACAACGTTGTGATTAAATTGTAGGATGCTACCATGAACCCCTATATTAAGAAATAGTTTTCCAAGTGTACCTTTTATGCACTTGAAATAATAATGTCAATATTGAATAGCGGTCGCCCAATTTTTAATGCACGAGATCTAAGTGATGCAGAACCCCAAATTCAAACTTGTCTAGTTGGTGATAATCATCTAATGATTCTTAAGTGAGTTCTAAATTTTAATATTAGAAGAATCCTATCTTCCTAACCAAGAGAGTACATGCATACTGTGCTCCTGCAGGAACATAACATTCACACCGATCCTTGCGTGATATAAAAAGGGAAATTTACATACGACAACTCTACCCGCTCGATAATTGTTTGGGAAATTCAACGAAACGAAAGATCAACGATTTCACATTTAGGGGTTCTTGGTTCTCGTGAAGTTAGTTTCACAGGAATATGTTTATAGAAAAAATATTTATTTATACAAATAATCTACAGGAAAATAATCGTTCAAGTTTACTTTCTTTATTTTTTATGTTTTTTCTCTTAGAAATTTGAAATTGGTTCTCCCTTTAAAATTTAAAATTTGGTATAGTTTCTCTTTAAATATTTAAAGATAATTTCTCTTTCTAAAAATTTGAAATTTGAGATTAGCTTTTCTATCTAAAAACTTTGATGAAGTTTCCATCTAAAAATTTTAAGATATTTTTTCTCTAAACATTTTAGATACTTTCTCTCTTTAATCCGGAAAGTTTCATAAAATTTTGAGATATCTTGCAAGTTTCATAAAAATTGAGATATTTTTTTTATCTAAAAACTGAAAATTTAGATAGTTTCTCTCTCTAAAAATTTTGACATAGTTTTCTCTCTAAATAAATTTGAAATTTGATATGCCATCTTTCTCTAAAAGGTTTGAGATAGTTTTTACTTTTAAAAGTTTATGATAGTTTCTCTCTCTAAAAGTTTGAGATGGCCTCTCTCTCTAAAACTATAAATATGAGACAGTCTCTCTCTAAAATTTATGAGGTAGTGTCTATCTCTAAAAATTAAAATTTGAGATAGTTTATCCCTTTAAAATATTTAAGATAGTTTCTCATTCTAAAATTTTTGAGATAGTTTCTCAATCCTAAAACTTGAAATTCCATATAATTTCTCCCTCTAATAACTTTGAAATAGGTTTTCTAACTAAAATTTAAAACTAAGATACTTTCTCTCTTTAATAATTTTGAGATAGTTTCCCTATCTAAAATTTTAAATTTTGAGGTAGTTTCTCTCTTTAAAAAAATTGAGATAGTTTCTCTATATTCAAAATTTTGAGATAGTTTATCTAAAACTTGAAATTTGGTATAGTTTTTTTTTCTTGAGATCGTTTCCCTCTTAATAACCCTAGGTAATTTTCTCTTCCTGCCTCATGAGGTAGGGTGTTCTTTTTATGGGAAAAATGTCATTTTATGGTAAACATTTTTCACATAGATCCTATGAAAAAGAATTTTTGAAATTATTTTTTGCAATTTATTATTATACAAACCAAATGACCCCTTATAGTTTGGGGAATGATCCTATGGATCTTCAATACACAGGTTTGAGCTCTTGACCAATGGTCAATATCCAATCTCGAGATCGATTCTCCCCTTACCGGCTAAATTTTTTTTATTCAAAAAAATGCATGTGCTCTTTTCTTCTCTCTCTTTCATTTTACCTTTGGTAAAGTACAATTAGTGCAAAAAAAAATAAAAAACTCACACCCTCCATGAAACCTTTCACTCTCTCTCTTCCCCTTCTTTGTCTCACTATTCACTTTCCCCCTACAACTCCGGGCTCCAACTTTGGCTAAAAAATGTCACCTCGCTGATTGTAGGGTTTTTGGGAAGCCCTAACTTGTGGAATCGAAAATTTCGAATAGTGGGATTCCACCCAAGATTATGTATATGATTGGCTAAATGCGAAGTAGATGAATGCAATTATAAATGGAATGCAAAAAATAAAACAAACATAAAAAAGCACACTACAACACTATTTATGTGATTCGCCTTATAGGGCTACTACATCCACGGCCTCGGCAACTAAAAATCCAATATCATAATGAAGATTTTCGATTTTGGATTACAAGAGATATAACTCTCTCTAAACATCGGTAAAAAATTATCACCGATTTTCCCTTTTAAACTCGATCTCCCAACCTACCGACACTGTCAATCACTACCTTTTTTCACATCGCAATATCGCTACCGAAAAGATAACCTCGAGAGCAATCGAGAGATTTTTTCTTTTTCTATAAGCAGAACCCTTACCAACTCCAAACCCATGGGAATACCACGTCTCGTTTAGAGACATCAGTAAAAGACCATTACCGATCTACTCTTCTAAACTCACTCTCCCGATTGAGCTACACCGTCGATCAACACATTCTTTCACACTACAATACCGTCACCAGAATGATAATCTCGAGAGCAAGAAATTTTCTCTCTCTAAAAGCAGAAGCCTTACTAACCCAAAACCTCTACGAATACAACCTCTCTCTCGAAGTCATGTCTCTCTCTTGGAGACCAATCCCCAATTTGGAGATCCCTTTTTATAACTCCCAAAGGGGCAACTCTTAAAAGTATGGGTATTAGGTCTTCTTTAACTCCTTTAGATAGAAAGAAAGGGTTGGGGTTGTTGTGGTAACACTAGACTATCATAGTCATCACATTGTGGTTTCTATTCTCACATCTAACACCTCCAAATGGTTGCTATTCCCACCTCTAACACCGCCCCACTATCACCTTCAAAAAGCTAACTCTCTATTCTATTTTTAAAAAATGGGTAGGAAACTTAATTACCAAAACTAGAGATCCACATCCCAATAAAATTATTTTTTTATTTATTTTTTATTATACAATAATTTCCTTGATATTTTAAAATAAAATATGGGTAGGGTGATTTGGCTATCACCAAACCCAACATGCTTTTTATCACGCCCCATCTCTTTTTTCTTTTGGGGTAAGTTCCCCCTCTCATTTCTCTCTTTAAGCTTAACTTGATGGGATTTATCTCCAAAACTTAAGAAAAACTATAGGCACTGTCCGTTATCTCTCTATTCAAAACCCCAACCTCAAGTAAAGAATTGTGACCTCCATGTCACTTTGCCTGAGAACATAGCCTAGTTATTTGGTCTAGAGGCTTTCAGATTTAGTGGAAACCAGTTTTCCAAATTCCATATCCACTCTGACAAAGCTAACCTGGTTTGACTTTAGCCGGAACTCACTTTCCAATGAAATACCAGCCAGAATCCAACGACTCAAGCCTTAGCAACCCTGGTTCATCGACAAAACATGCTTCATGGCTCTATTCTTGATCTCTTTGGTTTAACAAACCTCTTTTACCTTAAACTCTCTTGTAGGCTCGCCCCGAGAGGGGGAGGAAAAATAGGAGATTTTTTGTTCGGGTAAAAGATTTTTTTAATAAAGTTCGGGTAAAAAGATTTAGCGGGTAAAGTTGAAAAATATGAGAGTCACCTTGTCGAATGAATTTAGCTGGTAAGGGGGAGATTGGATTTTGATCTAACAGTCGAGAGCTAAAATCATCTCAAACTATGTATCGACAATACATAAGATCATTCCTTTTATTATTTATACAAAAGATATGTTTTGTAAAAAGTTTCGATAATTTATCAAACCGTGAGGGATGTGTATGTACTATCTGAGTTTTTTTTTTCATTGAGTTGGTGAGAGATTTGAGCCAATACCTATCTGTTGTATGAATTTGAGAAATGACTGGGCAATTATGACAGAGAAGCAAAATGAGATTTAAAAGGCAGTGTACACATGTTTTCTATACACTCCATATAATCCATGTTTATTTTCTTAGTTTTTCTTTTTATGTAATTATATCTCTTTTTATAAGAAAGTTGTTTCATGCGGTGGGAACCACATTTCTACATTTACGGTCCCTGAGGCATTTCTACATTTACGGTCCCCGAGATATAAAGCATCCATCTTAAAAATACATATAAGTGGTTCATTTAAAAATAATTAAAAGTAACAGTACATATGTTATTTTAATAAAATTATTATTTTTAATTTTTAAAATTTTCTATTTATTTATATTCATTATCTCCACGTTAAAAATTATATGTCCTTAAAAATTAGGTCCCAAAATCCATTTCAAAAATAAAAAGTTAAAAGGTGAATCATTTCTATATGAACTCATAAGAACCGTGTCCCTTTTTTATATTGTCCATGAAAACTTATTAGAAAACAAGTACATCGCAAGAGTGCTGATCCTCCGCAAAACCAAGGCCAATGTGACAGCTACTCATGACTATCATTTTCAATTTTGCAAAAGCAGCAAAACATCCGATCCGTCTGTCTCCTCCCAATCTCATTTGTTGGTTCCTTCAAAAAAAATGCCACAATAAAAAATATAAAAATTTATGATAGGGTTATTGATACTTGGATCTGTCCCCAAACTACACAAAGAGTAAGGGGTGCTACCCAAATCCTATAGGCCAAACCCCATGGTGAGGGGTATACATTGCGATCAAATCTTCTCCCATCATCTCTGTCCATTATATTCTTTAAGAAACCCTCTATTTTATAGAGTCCCTACCTGATAGAATTAATTATAATAATTAATTACGTTGAGACTTAAATTGTAATTCTTATATTTATTCACCTTAAAAGGCATAGGGAGTTTTGACAAGTTGTCATCTAGACTAATATGTTTATGCTCGTAATAATTGGATATTTTGAGTAAAAGGGCTTGAAAGGACAATTTCCAACAACTTCGCATAGGGGCGGTAACAAACCTGGACCCAGGTTTGGATATGGATTTAAATATTGGACTCGGCGGTTTTGGTTTGGGTTCAAATCTTGGACCCGGATACTATTATTCGAATATGGATTCAGGTCGACAAGGACTTGAACCCAAATAATATTGATATTTAAATAAACATAATATTATATTTTTAATGATAATATTTAAATAAAGGTTATATTATGGTGCTCACACTATATAGCAATTTATAATTGTATTCAATAAATTTTAGACACTTATATACATTTATTTTGTACATGAAGATTTTTTTTAGTAAGGGTATTTTTAGTCATAGAGGTTTTTTTAGTAAGGGTATTTTTAGTCATTAGGAGGGGGTTGACATCATCTACATGGGGTGTGATATCACCCACATGAATTATTAAATATCATTAGTGTGCTACATGTGGGTGATATCACATCTCATGTGGATGATATCACACATCTCTTTAATGACCAATGGATGTCCTAATAGAAAAAATGTTATAAAGGCTGAGTATAATTATAAAATGCTCTATAATTTGATCACCTTAACATAACCTTTTATATATTCTGTCAGCCTACGGGTTGTTTGCTACAGTGTCAGCCAATGGCCCAGATTGAATCTAGGCTAATGTGACGGTTACGACCTCATTTTGTATTTGAATTTTCATTTTTTTCTATAGATCCAAATAACTTGAAATTTTAAACATTCCTTTGTTCTCACCAAGGCGCATCTAATAAAAATATAAAAAATAATAATACATAAAATACAAATTGAACAAATACCCTTAAAAAGTTTTGGGGGTATTTTTATCAATTTATAATTTTTGAATTATTTGTTTTATATTTTTATTAGATTTTCTTAGTTTTGAAAAATAAACGCTCCAAATTTCATATAACTTGAATAAAAAAATAAAATAAAAATTCAAATACAAAATAAGGTCGTGAACTCATTTCGTGTATGCCAACGACCCAGATTGAATCTGGGCTTATTCAAATGGTCACGACTTCATTTTGTAATTGATTTTATTTTTATTTTTTTATACAAATACAAATCACTTCAAAATTTGAGAGTCTATCTTTAAAAAATATTAAAAATTAATTAAAATATTAAAAAAATAATTCAAAAAATATAAATTGACCAAAATAGGTGTGCCTTGATGAGTAAAATGTGCTCATAAATGTTCAAGTGATTTGGATTTGTACAAAAGAATTGAAAATTCAAATATGAAATAAGGTCGTGACTATCAGATCGGCCTAGATTCAATCTGAGCCATTAGCAGTTAGCCCGTAGGTTGACAACATCCATTCCATATATATATATATAATAATAATAATAATAATAATAAATTTATAAAATATATTTAAACATATCTTTTGATTTTGGAAAATTATTTCATGCAGGCCGGACCACATTTCTACATATGCTGTCTAGAAAGTGTAAAGCATCCATCTTAAAGATGGATGCAAGTAGGTGTTTCATCTAAAAATAATAGAAACTATCCAACTATTTTCTTACTAGAATTATTATTTCTAGCTTTTAAAATTTATTTATTTATTCATATTCATGATCTCCATATTAGAGATTATATGACCTTAAAAATTACGGAAATTATTGCTAATATACCCATATTTTCAAGAAATTGGAAAAAAAACCCCCAACTTCCCAAAACCTCACCCACACCCTTTTGCCTTATTTTGTAAAATTTCGGATGAAAATGCCCTTTACGGTAGTCGTTGTACCGTAAAAACAATTAAAGTATTTTTAATACCGTAATCTAGATTGGTCAATTGATATAATTAAAAAAAAAAAAAAAAACCATTACCGTACTTTTAGTACCGTAATGGTTTTAAATAATATTATGGTACTAAGAGTACCGTAATGGTTTTAAATAATATTACGGTACTAAGAGTACTATAATGGTTTTAAATAATATTACGATACCAAGAGTGCCGTAATGCTCCAAGATTGGTCAATCGATATAATTAAGAGAACGAAAAAAAAACCATTACTGTACTTTTAGTACCGTAATGGTTTTAAATAACATTGCGGTACTAAGAGTATCATAATGCACCAAGATAAGAAAAAAAAAAGCCATTACGGAACTTTTAGTACCATAATGATTTTAAATAACACTACGGTAATAAGAGTACCGTAATAGCCCAAGATTAGGATGAATCGATAATTAAGAAAAAAAAACCATTACGGTTCTAAGAGTACCGTAATGAGCATTACGATACTCTTAATACCGTAATATTTTTAGAGAACATTACGGTCATAAAATGACTGTAATTGTTTTTACGGTACGACGACTACTGTAGAAGGCATTTTTGTCTGAAATTTCATGAAAATGGGGCAAAAGGGTGTGGACAAGGTTTTGGAAGGGTTTTTTTTCCAATTTTTTGAAAATATAGGTATATTAGCGATAATTTCCCTAAGAATAAAGTCCTAAAATCCATCTAAAAAATCTATTTATTAAGGGGCCCGTATTTCTACATATGCAGGCTTGGCCGCAAGGAAACCCTTTGATTTTTGGGTTGGATCCCTTCGGGTCAACAGGCGCGACCCGTTTCCACCCTTAAATTGCCTACTCGCTGACCTCTGAATCTCCATTGCCGTGTCTCTCATACGAAACCCTCTCTCTCTCTCTCTCTCTCTCTCTACTCGCACTGTGAGTAGTAGAGACTATCGTCCTTCCGTTCGGTAGGACGACTAGTTAGTAGTAGCGTAGGTAGGGTAGGTCGTACGAACGAAA